GAAAATTACAGCATGAGTAGGAATACGCCAGACATTCAAACAGGGGTAAGTGGTTCAGACAATGAGGATATTCTGTGCTGAAATGAGGTGTATCAGCACTGCTGATTCAGCCAGGATGAGATGGTGAGATGGAAGAGGAGAGAGTAGGCAAATATGAGGCTGGACAAATAGCAGAAGCCAGATCATAGAAAGTCTTGAAGGCTTGGAAAACGAGCTAAAATTTCACCTAGCAAATGACATGGAGTTACAGATAATGTTTTGGTAAGATCACACTAGGAAAAAGGTAAGTGTAGGAGAGATGTTAGGAGTGGGATTCAGTGAGGAGACTACTCCAACAGCTAAGGGAGAGACCATGGGGTCCTTAATCAAGGCATAGCTCCGGGGGTGGAAAGAGAATACAGTTAAGAAAGAGATTGATACAATAAATTTGATAGTGTTTGATTGTTGGATGGATGTGAGGAGAGCAGAAAGAAAATGAAGAAGTAAATATCTAAGAGTTTCAATTTCCAAAACCAGTAACCTCCCTATAGTAATTTGAATGAGAAAGCCAATCAACAGTCATTACTGATATGTGTTGCAAATTTACCTTGTCAAGGAACACAGGTAGTATTATATATCAACATGAGAATGGTATTTGTAAATTACCTGGATTACAGCTTTGTTAATTATTAAGATTCATGGCATATTCATGAGGGAGGGGGCATACGTATACCTAATGCCAATTCATGCTGATGTAAGGCAAAAACCATCACAGTATTGTAAAGTAATTATCCTCTAGTTAAGAATAAAAAAAAAGATGCATGGCATATTGGGAGCACTGGGAAGGAGTTCCAGAATATAGCTGAACTTAAAATTTACCTTGAAGTGTTTGTACTAGATTTCATTCTCTTTAAGATTGCTGGAAACTCAATAAATCAATGGTGAATGTAACCACTGTCAAACTCTGGTGAGTTCAAAAAAGTGAATTCCCACCCTATGGTAATTGTGCCTGGGAAAGTAGACATCTGGTCAGAAGATGGGGTGAAATGTCATTTGATTATGGGATAAAGGACACTGATAATGTTCACTGAAGGGGACTTCCCCACTCCCAAGGGCATGGATGTGTAAAATAATTAATAAAGGATGAGCAGTAGAGAAAGAGTTTTACAATGAGGGTTCATATCTGTGTTAGTTGCTCAATTGCGTCTGACTCTTTGCAACTCCATCGACTGTAGCTTTCCAGGCCCCTCTGTCCGTGGGATTCTCCAAGGAGTTGGTAGCCGTGTCTTTTAGGGAAGATCTGAAAGCACTACCTGGATGGCAGTGTGTGGGCATGGGGAAGAATGGAAGAAAGGTGACGGGAGTCAAAAACAAAAAACTCTTCTCTGTGTGACGGAAGAGGGTTGGGCTTCCTTCTTGATGAGATCAGGCTTGGATGTACTATGTGACTTGGTTTCCTGATTGGGTTTACACCAAATAAAGATAAGAATTCTACTGAGCTGCTACTAACATCAATATCTTTAATATGATGCTCCCAAACCATTGAAGAAGGAACTACAACTATGGGAGATATAGTCTTGTATTCAAGTCACTTAGCGGATAAACACCTAGCCCAGGGGTCAATTAAGGTGCTAAATCAACCAGAAAAATTCTTATGAATCTCATTCATTGTTCCGTTTTATAGCTCAAATATAAAGAAGGTGAAAGTCTAAGCACTGATCTTACATAGTGACAAATGACTATGATACTGATAGTAATGGGTCTTGCTCCAACTCCAGGAATTTTGCTGATAATCTATTTCTTTATGGGACCATAAGGGGAAAAAAACAACAAGGGATATATAAACACTGAGATCTCATGAATTGACTAAAGGGAATGTTGCCAACTTTACAATGCTAGGCTATAATTCTTCTCTTTTCTAACTAGAATCCTCTTAATTTCCTTACTCTGTTCACAGAGGAAATAGCTTATTAATTTCTTTTCCTTTAATAACTAGGACAATGCTTACAATATAAACTTAAATGGAAAAGAAAGGGAATACTCATACAAGGTATAAATACACAAACATTTTTATACAGATCTCATACTGGTTTTATTTTTTAATAAGCCTGTACTATTTATAATTAATTAATTTTATATAATAAAATATCTTACATATAATCTTTTATATTAAATAATACTATATAATGAAAATATTTTAAAAGATAATATCAGTTTTCCAAAAATGTCATCAGTCTGCATCCATTTTAAAAGGTCTTTGACAGCAAATTTTATGTTTATTTCCAAAATACTTTGTTTTCCATGCTCTATTTATAAATATAATAACATAAATAGCTGGTAGACATTTTTAGGTAAAAAATATTCAAAAAGTGCTAATATAGGGAAATTTATCTTCAGTCATTCATTTAAAAAATGTTCTCCTATAAGCCTTCTGATGAAACTTATATTTTCCAGAAACTCAAATAAAAATATGTAAATAAAGAGGCAATTATTTCTTATACTTGCTTTTTTTCTTATTTAAGATCTATTTGAAAAGTTATTTCACGACTACAACAGAGAACAGAGTGTTGGCATTAAAAATTCTTCTGAAGAGGTCAATATCTATGGATTATATACAATGCCCAGATTTTTCAATAAATAGGCTAATCATTTTCTCATAAAAGCATTTTTGTTCTATCAGTTATCCACTCCCACTAAATTACTTGTCAGTACAGAAGAAGGGCAGAACTGAGGGATGGACTAGAAAGAAAAAACCCAAACAGCATTCATCGTAACACTCTTGTCTTTTTGACCCATTTTATGAAAATTAATTCTCTCTGAGAGCCCCTACCTTTCTAGATAAGAAATTAATTTACCTTCCTTTGAATTTATCTCTTTCAATAGTCTACTTAAGTTATTAGAATTTTCAGGGGATGACATGTAGCATCATACAGGAATCACATAGAAATAAAGAGAGTACAAAAGTAAGGCTGGATAATTTTTCTGATTCTGATATAGAAAACAGGATACTAATCCTTGGACACATCAGTGGAAGTCTTAAAGCATGCAAGTGTTAAGACCATCATGATACTTATTAATATACTCTCCCTAAAACCATTAGACAACGTTTTGAATAATGAATAACAAAATCCATCTTGAAATTAAAGAAAGGGAAGGAGATTTAGAAAGCATATATGGAAAAATATATACATGATTAAAATAATTTAAAAGGTAGTATATATTTTAATTTTTAAAAGTAACATTGTCTGCTGCTACTGCTGAGTCATGTCAGTCGTGTCCGACTCTGTGCGACCCCATAGACGGCAGCCCACCAGGCTCCCCCGTCCCTGGGATTCTCCAGGTAAGAACACTGGAGTGGGTTGCCATTTCCTTCTCCAACGCATGAAAGTGAAAAGTCAAAGTGAAGTCGCTCAGTCGTGTCCGACTCTTCGCGACCCCATGGACTGCAGCCTACCAGGCTCCTCCGTCCATGGGATTTTCCAGGCAAGAGTACTGGAGTGGGGTGCTGTTGTCTACTAGGTGCCAAAAGTTTGATTCACCATCTTCAAACTGCGGATAAACTATAATATTTGTAATTAAATCTTACTTGTATTTTATTTTTAATCTGTATGTACTTCAGTGGAAAAATAAACTACCTTCATTTTTAGGTTATGTATTTTCCTCCCAATAAAGTCTCTCAAATATACCTTAAGATAAAACTAAAATACTAGAACTAGTCAATCACCTATTTTTATACAAAGGAGTAAAATTCCCTTCATATTATTTTCTTTTAAATTAATGTGGATATAAGACATTTTCAAATTCTAGTAGTTTATTTATTTTCACAGGCTCTGTGAAGACAGTTTGTATTACTAAATCTTCTTCGAAAGGAAAAGAAATAACAAATTTTCCCTTATTTTGCTACAACATTAAAAACATACTTTGAAGCCCCATTGAAACAATTAATGGGAACATTGCAATTATATAGAAAAGGCTTTTCCACACATCAGGATAGAGGATGTTTCTGCATATAAAGTTTCCACTTAGAAAGATACTTTTTAATGACCTAGGAAATATAAATATTGCCAAAGTACTAAGCTATTTCCTAAATTACAGCAGTAACTTTGTCTAAATAAAATAGATTGATGAGAATTTATCAGACATTTATAATTTGTTAAATAGTACAGTATAAACTTACTTGGTACTATAAGGTAGCAAATAGCTACATTTGGCTATTGAGAACCTGAAGTGTGACTAGTCAGAACCAATACATAAACTGCCAAGTACAAACCAACTTTCAAAGACTTAGTAGAAAAAAAGAATGTAAAATATCTCACTCATAATTTTATATTGATTGTATAAACAATGACATTTTTGGTATAATGGGTTAAATAAAATGAATTAATAATATTGAAATTTATCTTTTGTGTATGCTTTTTAACATAGCTATAAGAAAATTTGAAATTATGTACATACATTGCATTAGATTTTCATTGGCAGAACTGGTATAAGCAACTAGTTATGTAAGAATGTATCCTTTCATGGTTTATGCATTAATGTAGATTTTAGGTTTAAAACTAAGACTTGAAAATAACAAGTGAGATTATTGGTTAATCTGGAAACTTAAAAGGTAAGTTCAGGGGAAAATTTTGTCATTTATATGATATCAGATATCAGAAACCAACATGATGAACAGTAATCATATATTGGTAGTTAAGATCAGAAGGATAACTTTCAGGTTAATATCTTCTTTTCAAGTCTCTAATTTATCCTATATATGAACTAACTAACTAGAGAAATCCCTTTCATTGTAGTATTCTAACAGTAATTGTAATGCTTTTTGAGATTCGTGGATAAAAGTCTAAATTGCCATGTAAAATTGACTTAGATAATTTTTGCTAATAGATTTATTTGCAATTGTGCTTCTGATAGCATGCCTTTAACACTGATAACTAAACCAAAGTTTGGATCCAGAGGATTCAATAATTTATGTAATGTTACTTTGAATTACACAAACTTATCTTTAAAATAGGTATTCATACCGTCATAAATCCATCCAGCAAACCTGAATCGGGTTTCGGAGGTGCCTGCAACCGTTCCATGGACCACTTTTCAATGATGGAGGAGACTTGCGTATTTTCTGTATTTAATATTCTGAACCCTGTCATGTTAACACCACTGTATCGATAAGGTTCCACATCAAGAGCAAAGAGGTCCTAAAAGACAAATTTCTTTGTGTTAGTATCAAGAGAAAATATTCATAGGCAAGTATAATTGAAATAGTCATGTATTCTTGCTCCCCTTAGGATAGTTAACACCGCTGTGTCTCAAACGATGTTTAACGTCACAAATCACCAAGACTCAAATACAATTATTGTCATGTTTTGCCAATGTAAATATATATAATATATATACTCTACTTAAACATATACATATATGTATTATTCCAATTCCACCAATGGAACAATAGGCTTTTCTACAAACTTCCTTTAAAGTTTGCATAAGCTTTCTTCTCTATGTTAAGGATAGCTTGCCCTTAAATTTTATGCATTTGTGTTTTACAGTTACTGACTATAAGTATTTTTCCATGTCTTGCTTCTTTGATTATTGCCATTTTTGTGTTTTCTGCCTTGCCTTTTATTTTTAATAAATTATGATGCATGGCTCCTAGCTTATTATATCAAAGGTGAGGGGAAAAAAGTCACCAAAACTGGCCTTATTGGTTACAGAACTCTGATAGTTCCACTCTACTCAGCAACTCCCCTACAAATAACCTTTTAGATTGTGGTTGTCCTTTCCACTCTCTATACAGTGAACGCCCTGGATCTGCCCTTTGGTTTCCCCAGGAGATAAAAGGAGGTTAAAGCTGTCAGGACAGTCAGATGTCACTAGAACATTCAAGATGTGGGACTTCTGCCCTCTTTGAGTTAGCATTAGTAATCCTTGGATATTGAGGACTACAACGAGAACCACTGAGAGTATTAGGCAGGACAAGATCAGTGCCATCGGGCTTGGGCTGGGCATAGCTTGTCTTAGACCCAGACAACTGTACAGACCAGATGACGTGAAGTGAAGTGAAAGTCGCTCAGTCCTGTCTGACTCTTTCAATCCCATGGACTATACAGTCCACAGAATTCTTTAGGCCAGAATACTGGAGTGGGTAGCATTTCCCTTCTCCAGGGGATCTTCCCAACCTGGGACTGAACCCTGGTCTCCCACATTGCGGGTGGATTCTTTACCAGCTGAGCCACAAAGGAAGCCCTAGACTAGATATAGGAACTAAATTCAGTGGAGAGAAGCTGACACTGGCCTAACTTCTGCTCTGTGCTGTGAAAAACATAAGGAACTTCCAGGTTTTTAATTTTCAAAGTTTGAAGTCTAGCCAAGGAGAATTTCTCTCTCTTTGACTATATATACATATGGCTATATATATAGACACACACACAGCAATGCAATATATGCTAAAGGGACAAAAGAGTGCAAGTGCAAGCAGTCAGAAGCAAGACAAATTATTTTCAACTTTAATAGTCAGGAACAGCTTCATAGAGCAGATGGGATCTGAGCTTCCATTAAAGAATGGCCATGCTTTTGATAGGCAAAAGACCAAGTGTCAGTAGAGACACAAAAATTAGAAAATATAAAAGCTGCTCAGGAGACTAGACCATTTTGGTTATAAGAGAATTCACAAAGGAGAACAGCAACAAAAGAAAGTAGGGAAGTTAGGTAGGAATCAAACTATAAAAGGCCTTCAATTATAGGCTAATGAGTTCTATATATACTAGTTTTTCTTTCCATTTTTTTTCCTTTTTAAGAGATACTTTTGATTTCCCAAAATCTTTTGATTATGGCATAACTGAGTTGCAAAGCATTGAAATATAATTTGCTGACAAGTGAAGGCTCCTACTCATCCTCCATCAGCCCATGACTAAGTTTCCCATGGGCTGCAAAAAGCCACCTGGTAAGAAGTAATAAAGAGATGCAGCAGAGTTAACCTTAGTATTTACCAGTGAAATACAACCTTCTGTATGAAGCATCTTTATTGGAGAAGAATTGTTTTTATAAGAAGTGATTGTGATCAACTAAATTTTAATAATTTGTTCTGATAAATTTAAGACTCCTAAAAGCAAGAAGATCAACTGGAAAACTTTTGAGTTTTGAAAGAGTATTGGTGAGACTGTCACTGCAAGAAGAAGATGCATACTAGAGACACTACCCTAAGCCTGGCATGCTGCAGTCCATGGGGTAGCAAAGAGTCTAACATGACTGAGTGACTGAACTGAACTGAACTGAACTGAGAGACACTACAGAGGAAAAATCAGTAGAATTTGTTGGGGATACAGGAGTCAAAGATAATGGAACTTTTGAAGAATTCAGAATATGAGTCATTTGAGAGGACAATGCATTAAGTTTCAAATAACTTGAAATTATATTAAAGCCACAGCAATTAGAAATGCTCTGTAATGCTGCAATATACAACAATTCAGGAATGTTACAGATGGGCATTCAGATCTCAGCTGAACAAAGGGAATGATTAAAGCTATAAATACATACCACTTTTAAAGAAAATAATCAAAGAGGATAAAAGAAAATAAAATACAGGCCCAAACTTGGAGACACTCTCCTACTGGGAGGTGGGCAGGAGAGACCTAGTGGCAGCGACAGACACCAGTTTCACAGTGAATGGCAAACTGGGGCAATGTGTTGGTAAGAAATAGAGCTAAGGGTAAGTAGGTTTGATAAAAAACAAAAGTCAGGTTTGCATGCACATTAAGAAAAAACTGTGTAGTGAGTATTAAAGACAAAAGATAAAGGTAACATTCAATTTGCTATTTGCAAATTAGATCATATATACTTAAAAAATCCAACCTAACATATGCAAAAACAAAATAGAAATTTAATATACTAAAGGAGCAGCTTAAATAAATGTGATTTTTGTTAAGTCAATAGAGGTAAAAAGATAAGAATTTATGCTTTTCTAAAACATTGATTTCTCAGCAAACTAATCTTAAAATTCATGATGTTCTGAAAGTCTTGAAAGCAATATAAAAGTAAGACACATTATTTTGAATTGATATCTGAAATTATATTATTTTAAAATCAACAGCTTCCCACCAAGAATCATTAGTTATCTGTGATGATAATTCCTCTTGGGTTTTATAAAAATAAAATAAATTCTAACTATAAAAGTGCTGCCATTATATTACTTCTTCCCACTCAAAGCCCATTTTTCAGCCTGAAATTCATTATAAGAAACTTTAGAGCATTATGTTTATATTTTTCATGAATTACTTACCAGTGTGGTAAAGATATAATGGTAGTATTCTGTCATCATTCCCATAGCTAATGCCTAAGAAGTAAAAAATAAAATAAATATTAAAATATTAACATTGAAGGTACACATTACATGAAATACCTTATGTCAATAAGACAAATAAGAAGAAAATAGTTAATATATAATGAAGAATCAGTGTATAATATTCAGGTTACATTAAAATTGGGTCAAATTAAATCTTTTTTCCATAGTTAAAGAAGATTAGTGCTTAGGAAGGAATTTCTGAAACAGTTCTCTTGATAAAAAAGCTATTAGTTGAATGTTTGCAATTGTAAGGCTTATAGCTTTACATAATCAAAGATGCATTAAATTTGAAACAAAACCTGAAATTAGCACATCCTAGTTCATTATATTTGTAATGTCCCTACTACAAATATCATAATAAGGAACACATTTTATTTTGTTGAAAAGTGTTCCTCAGTTAGAAAAAGAGTGTTCCAAAGTACAATATCAACAGAACTTTTTTTGAGCATTTTAGACATTTTCTTAGTATTAATGAAGCAAATGTAAATCACCACTGTACAGATAAAGTGTTTTTTGCTTTTTATTAATAGACCAATTGAAATTTACTATGTTTTATTTTCACACCTCTACAGCTCTCATCAATTTTAGACCATCAGTCCTAAAACAAGGGCTTTTGGAGGAGAACTTCCAGTCATAAGAAGCATCAATTTCCTCTCTGAAAATAGAGAATGCATTTGAAATAGCTGTTTATCAATGAACAGTATTCTGTGATGATAGTTGAAAAATGATGCATTTTTGAGCTGAATGAAGAGCTCTTAGTAAACGAGTATTCTCAGGTACATCTAATACTCTTCTACAAACAACTACTCTAACTGGTTTACTAAGTGGCTGCCCCAGCTGCCTCTTCTGTATTCCATGTTCATAGGTAGGTAGTAACCAATTAGGTCTAATAAAATTTGTGTTTCTACAAATTCATACCTATCAGTCAAGAAGATGGATGTTTTTTTAAAAGTTTGGGGGGCATATAAAATGTACTTTTTAAAAAGGGAGAAACATTTGTTAGTGAAAGCTGGCATCAAAGAATTGAGCAGAGGAAAGGAATTTAGAAAGTGTGATATTGTGATTTATAATAAGAAAATATGTATTTAGTCTTCCTCTCCACTTCTGGCACAGAGCTCCAGAGACTCTTGGAATTTCCCAAACGATAAAAGCAATGGGGACAACTTTTGTTATTATAGTCGGTCTCTTTTCCTGAAATTACTTCAGAGCCAAAAAAGTGAAAGGAATGCCTTGTTATTTTTGACAAGCACCTTTAAACCACAACTGAGTTTATGTGAAAAGAGGTGATTTGGGGAAATCCCCTAAAGATTGCAGGGGTGGGAGAGGGGGTGCTTATTGTCCGGAAAGCAACTTTGTTAAAGGAAAGTTGGAACTTTCAGTCTAACCCTTTCTGCCCCCTGAACTCTTGGAAGGGAAGAGGGGCTGGAGATCATCTCCATCATCTCAAGCCAGTGATTCAATCAGTGATGCCTATGTACTGAAGCCTCCATAAAAACCTAAAGGAGAGGATCTGGAGAGCTTCCAGACTGATGAACAAGTGACCATGCGAGGAGAGTAGATTATTCAGACAGGGCATGGAAGCTCTTTTCCCTCTCCCCGTATTTTGACCTATGCACCTTTTCTATCTGCTTGTTACTGAGTTATATCCTTTCATAATAAACTGGGAATATGGTAAGAAAAATGTTTCTCTGAGTTCTGTGAGCTGCTCTAGCAAGTTAAACAAACCTCAGGAGGGGATTGTAGAAATGTCCAATCTAGAGCCAGTGGGTTAGAAGCATAGATATAACCTGGATTTGTGGTTGGCATCTGAGTTGGTGGGGGAGGGGGGAGAAAGACACTCTTATATTAATAGAACTAAGCCCTTAATCTGTGGAGGCTGATGCTATCTCTGGATAGATACTGTCAAAATTAAGTTGGATTGTAAGACAATGAGTTGGCATCAGAACATTGCTTGTGGTGTGGGGGACACCCTCCCCTACCCGCCACAAGCACAGTTGAATTAGATGTACAGCCTTTAGGAAACAATATTTCCTGAATTGATAAAAATTATCTGAGCCAAACATAAACAATTGTATGAGCCAATAACACTGATAAAGTTTGCATTTAAGCAAAATGAGAGAAAACGTTTCTTATTAAATAAAAATTTACAGGATTATCTTTGTAGAAGGTATTCATTTTTCCTGATGGATATGCAGTAAAGGCTTCTCAACTTCAGAACTCCTCAGCGACAGCTCAGCATTACCCATGTCAGTGTTTCACTTTATGAACTCAATAGGCATAGAAATATAGGGAGATATATATGAAAGAAATAGCAATTCAGATGCATAACTATAAATAACAGTTACATAATGCCTAAAAAGTGTTGGGTACTATTCTAAGCACACTGCATATTTTAATCAATTTAAGCTTCATTAAAAAGCCTATGAAGTAGCTCCTATTATCATACTTATTTTACCGGTGAAGAAACTAAGACATAATAAGAATGAATAAATTAGCCAACAAATTGAGAGAGCATGTAAAGATGAACTCCAGGTCTCTAACTCCTGGAGCTGGTATATATAGCATGATCTATGCCTTTTATAAAGTGGTATATTGTATATTCCCAAAGATACAGATCCACTTTACAATCTATATATTCTAAAATTTTGACTGTTTCCTCCTTGATAATTTGAAAACCTGGGACTCTCAGGCCAATACTGGAAACTATGTTTTGGAAGAGAGTGGGATGTAGTTAAGGAGAGTGTTCTGCATCAGCTGCAGGTTTCTTCTTCGTCTTCTTGAGAAGAAAACTGTAAGGAATAACAGGACTGTGTGTGCCTTTCATTGATCTCCCTTAAGTCTTTGATACTGAAAACAAGTCAGTTATGGACTCTGAACTAAGATCTAAGTAGAGAAGTTTAGCTATAACATGAACAAAAGTGAACAACTGGGATACTCTCTTGGAAGGTGAGCTAGTAATTTCCAGTGGGAATTTAGAAAGAACTTGCACTCAATCTTTTAATTAAAGCCTTTAGGTCTTGCTAGTACTACATTTGAATGAACTATATGCACACTTCAGATCACATTAAAAAGAATAAAATTATCATCTTCTTATGGATAAATAAGAGTGGCCACAATAGAAAATTGTTTGTGCCATGTCACCCTCCTGGAAAGAAATACCACAGATTAATTTTTCCAAAATAAAAATATCATTAGAATTTCCCAACGTTTAACTGAGGTAGTGTTAACAATATTATATGACAAATTAACACACATAGTTATTCAGGCGTATAATTTGCAGCCAGTTTATCCTTCACATTCTATCTGGACATCTGTGTCATCATTGTTTAGTTGCTCAACCATGTCCAACTCTGTGACCCCATGGACTGTGGCCCTCCAGGCTTCCTCTGTCCATGGGATTTCCCAGGCAAGTGTACTAGAATGGGTTGCCATTTCCTTTTCCAGGGGTCTTCCTGGCCCAGGGATAGAACCCATGTCTCCTGGGCAGGCAGATTCTTTACCACTAAGTCCCCTAGGAAGCCCATGAGTTACATTGCTTAACGTTAACAACTGGAGTGGTAGACTTTATACATATTTCTTGAAATTTTATTTTATTTTACTTCTTGCTGCTGCAGCAGTTTCTTTGCTTCTGCTTTTACATTTTCCAGGTTAAAAAATTTGATTTCACATTCTATGATATAGACTTCAAAGTTCTTGGTTGCTATTTCTTTCTGTGATAGAATGTCCTTCTGAGGTTTTACTGCACATCATCTCGGCCCTACCATAGAGGATTCTCTTTGGCAAATCTGAGAAGACTGGAATCTCTTGCTATTAACGCATGTATGACAATGAGTGCCCTGAATCTGCCTCAGAGGAACTCTAGCCAGGCCCAGGCTTCACTCACTTTTAAAGCTTTGAGGCAGGAAAACTTCAAATTCAAGGTTGCTCCGAATTTAGTAAGAGCTATGTTAGTTTAAATTAAACAAACAAAAATCTCTTTTTCTGGATATTCCTAATATTTGTTCTTGGGGTAAACCAGACAAGCTGAAAGCTCCATTTATGCCTGCTATTCAACTCTTAAACCATTTCTTTGGAGTTTCATCATTAGCCAGTGTTGAAGAATCTTGGAACAATGTCATAAGTCATAAAGTGGAGTCCTATTAAATATACTGCTACATTTACAAAAAATAAGCTATTTACTTTCTTTTTGAATTGGTTTCTAAACTAACTGAGATCCATATATGAGACAAATGCTTTCTGGGACAAGGTAAGTTTTTAAAAATAACCTCACCATATGTGATCTGCCAGTGTTATAGAATCGAAAACCATGCTTTCTATGTGAAAGTGTTATTCTGACTTCAACTTAACTTTCATATTCTCATTTTACTTTTGTTCTGATTTTTCACCTACTAATCTTGTTAAAATTACATAATTTTACTGTTTAATATATTTTGAATACAACTTTAATTTTGTTTTCATTTTCCAAATAGCAGGTTACACATCAGAAAGCAAATATAAAATAATGGATAAATCAACAAAAGAAAGAATGGAAATTCTGTTATTAAAAGTGATAGATATTCTCACCTTTCAAATAGCAAAATAAGTCAGAGTTAATTACTCTACAGAAAAGACAATTGATCATCATACACACTTGTTGGAAGTCTAGAGAAAGCATACTATCTGTCACTGGCAAATAGTACAGTGCTACCCACTCTAGGCATAAAGGAAAGGCATTCTTTCCAAGTCTGTGTATTACGAACATGATCAAGAATTTTTGTTATTAAATGAAAAATAAATTCCAACTCTAAATTCCAGTGCTTACTTTATTATATCATTTATTCCAAAAATCCCAACCAAACAACCACAACCATGCTTACATTCTTTATTACTCAAATATAACACTAGAGCAATTTTCCAAATCCAATTAAATATTTTATTGTAGTGAAATCAACATCCATACTGGAAGATTAGACAAACATCTGCTTAATAAACTAACCATGTTATAACAGGCATTTACTGTTGGTAGTTATATTTTATGAGATATAATTTGACATCTGAATCTGCATAACCCTCTGGTAGAGATAACTTATCCTAAATTTATCAAGACAGTTGACTTATTTCCAGTGCCAGCATGTATAAAAGAGCTTAAAAAACAAAGTCCAAAGACGTGTGTTCAAATTCAGATTCTACTATATAATACAGCTTTATACTAGCTATTTAACCCCCTACATCAATCCCCTCATGTATGAGCTAATAATAATTGTTTTTCAGTGGGCTGTAAGGTTTGAATAGTGTTGAAGTCATAGTAAGGGGTTTTTACTGCTATTAATTGCTTGCTTTAGTTGATTTAGTATTATCTTTTTAAGTAGACAATGCTTTATTCTGGAAAGAATAGTTCTTTTTTTTTTTCCATTTATTTTTATTAGTTGGAGGCTAATTACTTTACAACATTGCGGTGGTTTTTGTCATACATTGAAATGAATTAGCCATGGATTTACATGTATTCCCCAGCCCCGTCTCCCCTCCCACCTCCCTCTCCACCCGATCCCTCTGGGTCTTCCCAGTGCACCAGGCCTGAGCACTTGTCTCATGCTAAAGAATAGTTCTTAACATCACTAAGGAGAAATACAAATCCCTCTGCTATACACTTGCTGATGGAATTAGTAAGGTTACTTAACCTTTCTGAGACTCAGTTTCTTCATCTGTAAAGTCGATCTAGTCTCCATCTTTATAGATTATTTGATTTTTTTTTACATAATTGATTATTTTTACTATAATCATTACATAATCATTTTTTACATAATCCTTTGATTATGGTGATGATTAAATAAGATCAAATGGGTAAGGCATCTCATCATAGCATACATGTCAGGTAAAGAACAATTTTTTCTCTTATTTTTGCTTTGAAGTTTACTCCCTCATTTCAGCACAAAATAGAAATATCTATTGCTTTAATCAATATTTGCAATAACAAACAGTATTTTAACCATTTGAAACTAACCTCAGAATTTCAATCTGCTTTGAAGATCATCACTATCTATATTACTTTCCTTTTAAGACAATTACTTAAAAGCACTTGTCAGATTTTTTTATCAGAAAATTTATATCAAAGTGACTTCTCTGACTTATTTTTAAGCTGACCATGTAACAATAACAACTTCATTTAAAAATCAAAAACCAGGGGACTTCTCTGGCAGCCCAGTGGTTAAGACTCTGTGCTTCCAACTCAGGTGGCACAGGTTCAACCCCTGTTTGGGGAATTTTCAAATGCCATGCAATGTGGACAAAAACAAACAAACAAAAAACATACTTCAAACTCAAATGTAATAAAGAAATTAAGAACTTGAATAATTTAGCAATTACCTGTTTCAAAATGCCTGCGGCCATCTCATGGCTACAGTCAAAGATGACATGGAATTCCTTGCCTCTTTTCATCTCTTTCAGTAAGGGTTTTGCATCCTTTGTATCAGCAGGTAGTTGACGGATCTTAAGTCGAAGATTGTATCTTGATGGAGCTTTGATGAGCTCCTGCAAGCGAATGAGACCTTTAACGAAAAAGAAAAAAAAAAGAACGTTAGAGAAAAATCACAGTGGATCATAGAAATCACAAAACACTACAGTGCCTGATTTTCCTGACCGTGTACATTTCATGATGCAGCCACTGAAATTCCTGCTTCAGAATTCCTAATTGCCAGTGTTTTTGTTAATGTGCCATGTGCTCAGTCATGTCCGACTCTTTGTGACCCTATGGACTCTGTCAGACTCCTTTGTCCATGAGATTTCCAAGGCAAGAATACTGGGGTGGGTTGCCATTTCCTCCTCCAAAGGATCTTCCTGATCCAAGGATCAGACCTGCTTGTCCTAAGGCTCCTGCATTGCAGATTCTTTACCCTCTGAGCCATCAGGGAAGCCCCATTTTTGTTAATATTACCTCTCAAAATCTTAGGGTATATCTTAAAGAATGAAAGACATACATGGCTATTAGTTAAATGTAAACAATTTAAACACATAAAAGAATATAGAATAAAACAGTTTCCCTTTGTACCCTAACTCTACTTCCAGTGGATTGTCATGGTTGATGGCTTGAAATATTATCTTCCATATATTTCTTATGTATTTGCACATATATACATAGAGGATTTTATTTTACATTAATAGTTGTTTTGTGAGAATGTCTTACAGGTTATTATGTCAGTGACTACTGTTATGCTGCAGCTGCTAAATCACTTCAGTCGTGTCTGACTCTGTGTGACCCCACAGATGGCAGCGCACCAGGCTCCTCTGTCCCTGGGATTCTCCAGGCAAGAACACTGGAGTGGGTTGCCATTTTCGTCTCCGACGCATGCATGCATGCTAAGTCACTTCAGTCGTGTCTGACTCTGTGCGACCCCACAGACGGCAGCCCACCAGCTGTCCCTGGGATTCTCCAGGCAAGAACACTGGAGTGGGTTGCCATTTTCGTCTCCAATGCATGCCTGCATGCTAAGTCACTTCAGTTATGTCTGACTCTGTGCGACCTTATGGACAGCAGCCCACTGGGATTTTCTAGGTAAGAGTACTGGAGTGGGCTGCCATTTCCTTCTCCAGACTATTGTTCTAGTTTGTCTAATTAATTAAACACCGTTTTTTAGTATATACACTTAATGCAGTTATTCTCTGTTATTAAAAACTTTGATTGCTTCTTTATATTTATTTATTTTTTTACAAGTAGTGGTTTAGTAATTTGGTGTATATGTATAACTTTATTTGGAAACAGGAATAAAAAGTATCTTCTTATGAATTCCGTGGTGGCTCAGACGGTAAAGCGTCTGCCTACAATGTGGGAAGCCCGGGTTTCATCCCTGGGTCGGGAAGATCTTCTGGAGAAGGAAACGGCAACCCACTCCAGTACTCTTGCCTGCAAAATCCCATGGATGGAGAAGTGTGGTAGGCTATAGCTCATGGGATGACAAAGAGTCGGATATGCTTGAGTGACTTCACTTTCTATTATGACAAAAATATACTGTATATTAAAATAATGTAAGAGATCTAAAGAATAAAATCTAATTCTGGAAAGTTTTTCATTCAGTTTTTAATTAAATAATACATCCTCTTAGACATACAATGCTATATACATGTTAGCATGTTTCAACATAGTTAATAAAATTAATATGACTAATTTTAAGTATTTTCATCCTTAGGACATGAAAGATAAAAGTGAAAGGTAAAAAGACAGCTTTCAGAATGGGAGAAAATAATAGCAAATGAAGAAACAGACAAAGGATTAATCTCAAAAATATACAAGCAACTCCTGCAGCTCAATTCCAGAAAAATAAATAACCCAATCAAAACATGGGCCAAAGATCTAAACAGACATTTCTCCAAAGAAGACATACAGATGGCTAACAAACACATGAAAAGATGCTCAACATCACTCATTACCAGAGAAATGCAAATCAAAACCTCAATAAGGTACCATTACCTGCCAGTCAATGGCTGCTATTCAAAAGTCTACAAGCAATAAATGCTGGAGAGGGTGTGGAGAAAAGGGAACCCTCTTACACTGTTGGTGGAAATACAAATTAGTACAGTCACTATGGAGAACAGTGTGGAGATTCCTTTAAAAACTAGAAATAGAACTGCCATATGACACAGCAATACCACTTCTGGGCATACACACCGAGGAAACCAGATCTGAAAGAGACACGTGTACCCCAGTGTTCATCGCAGCACTGTTTATAATAGCCAGGACATGGAAGCAACCTTGATGCCCATCAGCTGACGAATGGATGAGAAAGCTGTGGTACATATACACCATGGAATATTACTCAGCCATTAAAAAGAATTCATTTGAATCAGTTCTAATGAGATGGATCAAACTGGAGCCCATTATACAGAGTGAAGTAAGCCAGAAAGATAAAGATGAATACAGTATACTAATGCATATATATGGAATTTAGAAAGATGGTAATGATAATCCTATATGCAAGATAGAAAAAGAGACACAGATGTATAGAACAGACTTTTGGACTCTATGGGAGAAGGCGAGGGTGGGATGTTTCAAGAGAACAGCATCGAAACATGTATATTATCAAGTGTGAAACAGATCGCCAGTCCAGGTTGGATGCATGAGACAAGTGGTTGGGGCTGGTGCACTGGGATGACCCAGAGGGATGGGATGGGGAGGGAGGTGGGAGGGGGGATCGGGATGGGGAATACATGTAAATCCATGGCTGATTCATGTCAATGTATGGCAAAAACCACTACAATATTGTAAAGTAATTAGCCTCCAACTAATAAAAATAAATGGAAAAAATATATATATATAAATTCATAAATACACCCAATATAAAAAAATACACCTAATAACTTTTGCTTTTATAAGTATTGTCTCATAAAATTTACTTTATTGTAAGTTAGTTTAGAATTTTGATATTTAAAATTCTGCAAATAATATTTGCATAAATTACACAATATAATTATCTTATTTTGTTTTACAAGTCTAAGTATTTACTAACAATAGTAAAATAAATATTACAAAATTAATTGAGATCAAATGTACCCATTGAACATAATACAATTCAGTGTAGGGAATTATGTATGTTATAAGTACAGATGTTAACAATGAAGAGCACAAAGGTGAAAATAAATATATGAGTTTATAACATGTGCTTAATTGTACTAGTGTTTAGCATTGGATTATAAAAGTCTCTAACATGTGTATAAAATGCTATAAACTTCTTTGCACATGAGGTTACTTCACAACAAAGTTATAATAAAAATCTTAAGGATAGTAATATTGCTTTGGGTTTCCCAGGTGCAATAGTGGTAAAGAATCCACCTGCCAATGCAAGAGATGAAATAGACATGAGTTTGATCCCCGGGTCAGGAAGATCCTCTGGAATAGAAAATAGCAACCCACTCCAGTATTCTTGCCTGGAAAATTCAATGGACAGAGGAGCCTGGTGGGCTACAGTCCATGAGGCCAAAAAGAATCAGACACAGTTGAGTGACTGAGCACACACATACACAGTAACATTGTTTAACAACATTTTATAAATAGAGTATAATTGCTTTAAGGCAGTGACTTCCAAAATTTGGAACGGATGACAGTAATCTGTGAATCTGTACAATCTGTGAATCTATACCATCTAAATAACCAAGTCAAAACCTATAGGGGATACAACTCATACATGAGGACTTTTAATAATTGCTCCAGATGATTTTCTTGGTCATCAAAGAGTATGGTCAATTTCCAAAGACAGATACAATTTTTGGTGTCTTATGAGAGCTACCCTGTGAACAACTTTGGCAGAGCAATATTATAGAATAATAATTATTTTATATTAACTAGTAGCATACGACGAAATAATTCAAAATTGATTTCCAACCAGGAAGAGTGAGTTGGAAAACTGTAAATACAACTGACTGTAGGAATAAGAAAGAAAGAAAAAAAAATCATTACCATGCATCAAATAAATGTTTATTGGATTATCCCTAAAATATCCTTAATTCTAAATTTCTATTATTCTTATTATTTATATAAACACAGACAGATCTAATACCAACCTTAGATGAATAAAGAAAAGAAAGCTACCCTTTGCTAACTTATCTCACAAGATTTTGAGTGAGTCAAATGTAAATCTGGGGTATTTAGTCTATCAGAGTAGCGATACCCTGAGAGTTGAGTGTGAATCTCAGTTCAAAAAAATCTATGATATGTGAATCTTTATGCAAGATATTATATCTGAGATTTGTTTTGCTTTCCTCTTCTCTATTAGAGGGTAAAACCATATAACCTATATCAATATATAAATTAATACATAAAACACCAAAGGGGAACTGGCTAATATTAGACTTTCAATAAGCAGCAGGCTTTTATTATTGTTATTTGGGCTAAGAAGGAAAAAATATAGTTATGTTTTAAATGTGCTGGTTATTAATCTATTCTTGGAAGTTACTTTGACACTGATACAGACTGAAAATCTAATAACATCAAAATCTCAATCAAAATGTTGAGATAAACTCATTATCAAAGAAAAAGTAGCTATACAGTTAGAGATTAGCTCAACAGTTCTGAATTGAAAAAGCTCAACTGACTTGGAAGTAGAAATTTTCAGAAGTATTATATACAAAATAGCATTTGTAGGGGTCACCCTAAGTATAAATATTGCCAACTATTCTCAAGTGTCTTAAGAACTCATGTGGATAGTCCGTTGAGCCACCGGGTACAATAAATGTTTACTTCTTCTCTTCACACATATACTTCCCTGCTGGCGTTAATGTAACAGATTTCAGCTTGCCAGCTTCCCTGAGAAATAATATTCAAGAGATAATTTTTTTAAAAAATAGCTGTTGCTAGCCATCTCCTACTTGAATTCAAGGGAATTGTTGTCTTCATTTATATATACAACATGTATTTACTGCATGTCTACTATGTGCAAGACATTGTTTCATGGATAAATATAATGATTAGTAATATTTATTCAGTCTTTAACCACATGAGATACAGTTTGAGATACAACTGAGATACAGAGATTTAGCCACATGAGATACAGTTCTATAA